CATCTCATTCTGAGGTGCTCCATTCCACCAGGATATGTCAGGCGTCCTTGGGGTGGTGGCAGTGTCTCTGAGATATCTATCCTCTTAGAGGCGACAGAGGACGAGCCAGGTGCCTAGGAAACCCTGGTCCCCGGGAGTCCCAGCCAGGCTCGCTTGGCCTCTGTATACCATCAGGTCATCTCAAATGGGCTTACGGACTTAGATGGTACACAGCCAAGAAACCGGCTACAGTCTCCCCAAAGGGTCAGGTCAACTTTATATGGAGAAAATAGGAACTAGAAGACAATCTCATCTGCTTCTCCCGCAGACACCTCCAGTTAAATAGAAATTAAAGAAACCTAACTCGGAGGGAGCTAGAGGCAGCCGGCAATGAAGGAAACGCAGGCTTCCAGGCCTGTGTTAGGCATAATCAGGAACCTATTCTCCCTACAGATGATGCACGCAAGTGATGATGGCTTGAATTGGATGCTTACACAGCCCTCATCTGCGCCCCCCAGCTTCCCCTCACTTCCCCAGCTTCCTAAGGTTCGGTTCGCACAGGTTCTACCTCAAGGACCTTCCCTGCGGAAGGACGCACGAGCGAGGGGTAAGCGCCGCGGCTCCCAGGGCCGCACTCCTTCCAGGGCACACCTGAGCTCAGCGCTAGAGAAGCGGCATCGAACCCTCCTTGTGGCTCCCGGGCCTTGAAGACAGGGTGACACACACAAGGCGACTGTGGCTACGGGCCTGCCGGTGTATGCGCGCGAGGGTAGGATTGGTGGACACATCTATGGGGTAATAATGACCCAAACGCCGGGGACTGGCACCGATTACGATGAGAATGTGGGTTTCCTGCCAAAAACAACGAAATGAAAAGGAAAATATGTAAAATAAAACAAATCAATCCCAGGAAAAAAAGTAAACCGAATACTGTCCACAAACAAGAAAAGTAAAACTAAAAACAAGTACAGAAATTTCTAAATGCAGTCTTCTGCATGTTCCCTGTAAACATGTCAACGGCGGGGGCGGGGAGGGTTTCTGGGTCTGGGCTATGAACAGATTTAGCTAAGACTAAGGTCCCGCGGGCCGCTGAGGCTCCAGAATCGGGATTCGCAGGCCCGAGCTCATCGCAGCACAGAGCCGGCCCTCGTCTTCGTAGCCAAAGGCCCCGCTCCACAGCGCTAGGCCTGTGGCTGCCCTGAGGCGGCCTAGGCCCTGTGGCCGACTGACATCCGAATGGAAATCGAGCGGACGCTGGGTGGTCCTGGGCCGAGATCCGGCTGCCGGAGTGGGCGGCAGTCCTCGCGTTCTGGTCTGCTCGCAGCCGGAGCGCTGAAGCCACTGCCTGGGGCTTTCAGAGCTTCTGTGGAGGCAGACCTGGCCGGGTGCACGCCATTATGCTTTGTACGTGTTCTGGAATGCAGGTTCTGGCTGCCTGCGGATTCTCCCGGGAGTCAGACCCTGCCTGGCGTACCCCCCTTCTTTCCCACACACCCACGGTGGGCTCTACCCAGCCCGAGCCGGAGACCCATCCTTGGTGTACACCCCTCTCCCCTTTTCCTCCCAGCCACTACGTTTCCGCCAGTGGATGCCACAGATCAGTGACTCCTCGGAGGGATACTGCCGCTTCCAGAAGGAGGGTGCTGCGAAAGGTGCATCTTGAATGGGGTTTCACCTGCGGAGGTGGCATCCAGTGCAGCGATTTTGGTGAGTAGAGACCAGCTTTGAGTGAGCAGAGAACTGCACCACAAATTATCCATAAAAGTACTGAGGAGCCTTTCGGATCTATCAAGATCGACTATTGAATTGTTGTCATGATTAATTTAGGAAGCATATAGAAGCTTCGGAAGGCCCATATGCGAGTGTGGACTGTGACATTGCAGGGAATTTGGGGTCAGTGCTGTCCACATCTTTTGCCTGCCAGTAACCCGGTTTCACTGAAAAGGCCACGGCACTGGGAGGTGAGAGCTGAGGCTTGGAGGGCCGGTTCTTTCCTGTAGCTTCCAGCGGGAGTTCGTGGCGCCCTTTCCAAACATAAAACAAAAGGATCCTGCCACCCATACCCTTTATCAGCTGAGGGGCCATGCACAGGGAATGTGGGGGAGCCTAGAAGCCTGGGATGGAAGCCTAATTGCATCAGAGGCGTGGTGTCGTAAGGAGTGCGTGTTGTGCACCCCACCTGCTATCCTGGTGGCCTGGCTTGTGCTGCTGTGGAAGAAGCAGCCTCCATTTTGAGGCAGGGTGTGCAGCATAGTGGCCGAGCAGCCCCTAAGGGAATCAGAGAGGACCTCACTTACCGGTCTGCAGGAAGGAGCCCATCGGTCCTCACCAGCCGGGCTCTGCAGCCCTGGGTCACTATTCTCTAAGGGTCCTGAGCAACCTGGGCATGAGGTGGGGGTGGGGCCAGGGTGAGGTTGGGAGGTGAATGGGCGGTAACTTGGGAGAGACCTCTGACAACTGAGGCCCACTGCTTTATCCACTAGAAGTGCTTTGTGAGTCAGAGCCCTCCCTCCTTCTTTCAACAAAAATATATGGAGACCCTGCAGTTTTGCAGGGTCCTTGGATCCTTAGGGCACCCTTCAAGGTGAGGACTAGGGAGCCATTTGTACAGAGGAGGAGATGGAGACAGAGACAAAGGAACTGGTTCAGGTTCAAAGGGCTGTAGCCCTGTATTCTAAACCAATTTTGCTTAGTTCTGCTCCTCAAGCTCTTCTACTTCCTAGTGCCTTGGATTCCCTCAGTAGACTGCAGTCTGGGGTGGACCTTCCCAGGGGACTGCAGAACCAAAGGAGGCTGCAAAGACCCTGAAGGCATGGGGCTTTGACTAGGAGAGCTTTATCCCAGCAGCAACCAGGAACAAGGTTGAAATAGCTCTCTTCTGCCTTTTAATGGCTTCCTCCAAAAATGAGGATTTAGGGGACACATCTCCAAAAGTCAAGGGCAAAATGTACTTAGGGCCTATGTGAGGAATATCCATTCATTCTGGGGCCAAAGCACTTGAGATTCCTCTTTGGCAGTGTCAGGCCTGTTCCATTTATCAAAGCTGAGATCCTGCGCCATGGTGGGGCCCGCTTGTGACTGACACAGGTGACCCTGACTAGGAGGGATTAGTGGTAAATGACGTCCTGGGCATTTCAGGCCTGTAATAACCTCCTTGTCATTAAATGGAGCTGGGCTGAGGGATTTATGAGGGTTCCATTTGCTTTTCATTTTTATTAGGTGTGTAAATATATCCTCTAAATATCATATTTAATATTTCCATTACATTTTACAAGTGAAATAACATTGCTACGTGAATATAGAAATTTATAAAAATATACCCCCCGAAGGTATAGCCAGGCCCTCCTTGTGTAGGAGAAATCCATCTCTGCCTGGCTCAGTGGGATTCCACCTTACAGGATGGAGTCTTACTGTTCACTCCCACCTTCTAAGAGTCCACATGGTGGTTATTCTATTGACATCTGTACCAGAAATTATTTGTTCTACACACAAGATTAGTAGCGTGAACAATGTGGTAGGTGGACTCCGAATTTACACTTGCCCTGGCAGAAGGGGTGTGTATAGCACAGGTGGGGACTTGAGATCTCTCCCTTGGAGTGTGTGGGCTTGGGGGACTTATTTCTCCCTCTCAGGAAGCCCTACAGATTCCCTTAAGGGTTCACACCTTGCATTCTGGACACCTCACCGCCTATGGAATGGAATTTAATCCCAGGAGCCAACAGGTCCTCACACCTGCTGAAATTCTACTGTGCAACTGCCTTGACCCACACCTGTTCCCTGACTGGGCATGGGCGCCCAATTGCCTAGTGGTCACCAAGTGGTGCAAGGAATCTTTCCTAAAGCCAAGGTGTGTCCCTCTTCTCCAAGGCAGTGACTCCTGCTGGACTCTAGCCCTGTCTCCCATCCCTAGATCCACTCACACTCTACACCTGCTAGGAGATTGTTACCTGCCAAGGTATTTGAGAACTCAGTTTCGATAAACTCAAAATACCCAGGGCAGAGGAGGAAATCGGCAGCCTGGCAGGCGCCTGCAGAGGGTTGGGGCTTCTCCGATGGGTGCAGGGGAAGAAGAGGCTGGAAAGACACAGCCAGAGGGTGCTGAGAGCTCAGGAGAGGAGGGAGCCTCAGCAAGCGAGACATAACCCACGAACGCAGAGACGGCTGGGGGCAAGACCCAGAAGACTCCTCCCTCCTCCCTTGTCCTCGGTGGGCAAGGCCCAGCTTGAGAGCAAGTGGAGCCCACAGCTTCTCCAGACACCGGCGCTGGGGGTCTGGGAGCCTCGGCCCCTCACCGGGCGTAGCAGGAAGAGTGCTGCGAAGGACAGTTCAACATAGAGAAAGGAGCAGGAAAGGAGAGAGTAGGGCCAGGGGCAGAGGAGGAAGGACGGGAAAGGCCAGGCCAAGAGAAAGCGGCGTCCAGAGCCAGCTGGGCCCAGGCGCCGCGAGGAAGTGGGAACCGGAACAGAAGCTCAGGCGGGCAAGCGCCGAGCCCTCCGCTGCCCGGGCCGAGCTCTCTCACGCCAACAGCCAGTGCGAAGGGAAACAAGGATGGGCAGCAGGAGGCGAGGGAGCGCCCCGGCCGCTGAGCGGGGCTCTGGCCTTTTTCCCCGGCGGTCACCACTCCGGTCCCTCCAAGTCCTGTCTCCGCGGAGCGCGCGACGCTTTCTCCGCGCCTGCCTTGGGGGACACGGGGCAAGGGCCGGGCTCTCAGCGTTTTCTGTGACCCGTTTCTGTCCCCACCGCAGTTACCATCCCGGGCGGGCCCAGAGAGAGGGCCCGGGCCCGAGAGTCTGGAAACTGTAAGGCCAAGAAACGGGGACTCCTTCCGTTCGCCGCTTTGTCCCCCGCCTCGGCTCAGTGTTCAGCACACAATAGAATCTCAGAATAATATCTGCTGAGCGAGCGGCCGAACGATGAATGAATGAGTAAATGAACTGGGAAGAGAGGCAGCAAAGAGGTCTGAGGCCGGGTGGAGGCAGGGCCGGTGCCCAGAGGGCGGGAGCCGCGCGCCGTCCTCTTACCTCGTACCAGGATGCGGCGGCAATGGTCCGCCTCCCCGGGCCCGGGCTGCCCGTCGCTGTCGGCGCTGCTTTCTCTGGAGCCTGCGGGGCTGGAAGCCGAGGTTCCCGCAATCTCCCTTGGGCTTCGGCCAGCCTCATCAGTTCGTAAGTCCTCGGATCCGCCGAGGTCTCCGTTGCGCCCACGGCCGCCACCAGATTCCACCCGGCGCGCGGGGCCGAGGTCTCGCTCAGCGACCCCATCGCCCATGCCGGCCGCCGCTGCAGCCTCCGCCGCCGCGGAGCCAGCCCGGGCCGGCCGAGCCCGCCGCTCCCCGCCCCTCGCACCCGCCTCCTGACGGCTCTACCTCGGGCTCCGCCCCCACCCGGCTGCTCCTCCCCTCCCTGCTGATTGGGCAGGAGTCCGGGTTCTCCTAGCCCAGACCTCCAGCTGCTGCTCTGCGCCCGGGGGAGGACGGGTGAAGGAGGAGGAGGCTGTGGCCCCCCACCTCCAACCCAGGTCTGGCGGGACTCCGAGTACTGCAGGGGGAGGCTCGGGCGATCCCGAAGTACAGAGGAACCCGCGGCGCCCTCCTTGAAGTTTATCACCCTCTTTTCCCCAGCACCGTCGCCCTAGCCGACGCTCAACCCCGCCCACCGACCCCTGGGACGCGCAGCCTCAGCTCTCCAGTCGGGTTCAGCTGGATCAATAATCAAAGTGCTCGAGGAAGGCGACCCGGTGAGACTCAGCAGAGAACAGGAGGTTGGCCTTGCTAGAGCTCTGGGCGGGTAGAGGGTGGGAGGTGGGGGGTGGAGACAGGCCCAGAGCTGGGCTTGGGGCGCCACTCCTCAGATTCTTACCCGCAACCTCACGCCTGAACACAGAACTCTAGCCCTCTCGTCCCTCCTGGGAGGGCAAGACCGAGGGCGGGATAAAAGAGCTCGAAGAGTAAGGTTGGGGTTGGAACAGAGGTGCGCACAGACAGCCGAGTAGAGTCCAGAGTGAGGGTGAGAGTTCGGCAGGCAGAAAACGCCGGACTCCATTTCAACTCCGAGGTCGTTACTCAGGGGCCTACACCTAGAGACCAGGATAGAGCGCTGGCATTTATTTGGGGTTTCTCGCGAGGAGCTCCCTCTCGTCTGTCTGGCCTCGGCAACCCGCTCCCGCTGGACTGCGGAGTGGCGACGCGCCTAAGTAAGCGCGGCTTCGAGCAGGGCACGGTCGAGCTGTGTTAAACTGAGCAGTGACGATCACTAGGCACTGGACTTGGTTCTCTGAGGCGCATGGGTCGGTGGCACTTGCTTCACTCTAGACAGACACCAGGGTCTGATTTTTCTTTCTTTGATTTGGAAAAGGGATTGGAAGAATGATTCCCGAGCCAAGTTGTATATGCAAAGGCACGAGCGTGCCGGAGGGAGGGTGACCTCTCCCCTAAAGTGCTCTAACTGCAGACGTCCCTTTGTCTGACCTGCTGGCTTTGAACTAAGTGCTAGTGGGTAAGCCAACTGCTAGGTGCTAGTGAGGGTACTTCCTTCTGTCCTACGATCCAGTTAAAGGTGTCTGTGAAAGTCAGGCTGGGGATGTGTGCATGTGTTTGTGTCATGGGAAGGGTGTTCCTAGTGCAGCCTTCATAATTCTTGTGAGGGATGCATGGGTACATGAGTGTGTGTGCGCGTGCACACCTTTGCATGTGTCCAGTGTAGATGTGACGAACTGAGTGTATGCACAGGTCCAATCCCAAATGTGGCTGGTCAAAAGGGAGCTGGGCAGGTGACACCTGTTTTGGTGACCTAAGAAAAGGGGAGGGCAAAGAGGGCTGGTCCGTACTAACTGAAGAAGGGAAAGAAAGGTGGGAGGGAGGATGTGCAGCCACACCTCGGATTTGGGTGGGAGGCTAAAAAAGATGGAACTGCCCCCTGGCTATGTGGCAGGGTGTACAGAGGAGACAGAGTTATAGAGAATAACTAGGTGCTCAAGTTCCTGGCCCTCGGCACCCAGGCTGCTGGAGTGTGTGTGAGGGCGATGGGCAAGAAAGGAAGTAGAATTAGAGGAGGGCCCTGGAGAAAGCAGACTCAGCAAGGACTGAGTTTGGTTGAAGAGATCTGCACAGCTGGAGTGCAGGGCATTGTGCTCCCATCCTGACCCCTGGAAAGCAGTCAGACTCTGCAGTGTCCCACTCCAAGATATTGCTCACCGGTCCTTGGGCCACCTGTGCTCTGCAGTTCAGTTTTTCTCCTCTCTCTCTCTCCCAAGTTACTTATTCAAGTAAGTGAGTCTAGTATAGAAAACACACGCAGAAAGCAAGCACTCCACTTGATATCCGCACCCTCAGTCCTCTCATCTTCACTTGCCACATACCAGGCCTGGGGCCCTGTGCAAACAAAAATGAAAAGTGCATTTGCTGGATCCTGCCTGGTTCTATTTTCTTTTTTAAATTTTTTTTATTTGTGTGTGTGTGTGTGTGTGTGTGTGTGTGTGTGGCCAGCTCAGCCCACCAGGGGGCAGGGCTGGCTGGCATGTGGTGCTGGGGAATTGAACTGCGGTCCCTGTGCTTTACTAAACTTGTTCCAAGCAGGTGCCTTAGACCACTGAGCCATCTCACCAGCCCCTGGTTGGTTCTATTTTCACCATTTTAAATTGTCATTTCACTAATGGGATCTTCTGCCTGAGTAACTCAGGTCTCTGTCCTGGCATCCTCTTCCCTGGCTTGGGCTTTCAGGAGTATTCATGGGACAACAAGCGGGGTAACTTTCCTGGGAGAGGCAGGTGGCCTCTCTCAGAGTCCCGAGGGCCTGGGCCTCCGATGGTTCTGGCTTCTACCAGTCCCTGGTTGCTGGAGAGCCTTGAGGGGTCAGTCCATATTGACTCTGGGGAGTTTCCTGTCTTCTTCCTCCTGCTCTTTATTCTTCCTTTCTTAGGTTCCTAGGATAAAGATTCGAGCTGGTGCTTCTGCACGCTGGGATCTGGTGAAGCAGTCAGGGCTTCTACCCTCCAGAAGGCTAGAATGGGCGTAGGGGTGGGGTTGAGGAGTGGAGACTCCTTCTTGGCAGCCTGGAAGTGGAAGCAGATCCTTGCACCCATACCTTAGAACTTCTGTCCTCCCTCCATCTATGCTTTCTGGGCACTCTCCCCTCTGGTCTAGGTCCCTTACCGAGGAGGCTGGTTGTGAGGGGCCACTGAATAGGCTCCTCCCATTTGTGCATCTTTTCATTCTGGAAGATCACATCCTGCCACATTACCTTTGCTAGTCCAGGATAAAGAAGGCTTACCTGTGGGCTCAGCAGTGAAGGTGGCACTGGGGCTTTGGAGTGTGCACACTGGAGCACTCTCTGTGGGTGACCTCCCTGCCTGACTTAAGAGGAACACAGAACTAGAGACAAATGAGGCTGCCCCACATGAATTCACTGGGATGGAAATCCTCATCTGGCCAACCAGAGCAGGGGGCCAGTGGCATATGCTTCAGCCCTTGCCTTCGCCTTCAGTCCCCATCTCCAACCTGGCAACATCCTAAAGGACAGAGACTTTCCTCTGCCTCTTTACCTTTGCTCTCATTTTGGAACTTGCTGAACCTGAACATGGAGAGTGAGGATAGGCAGCTGATCCCAAAAGGGCAGGGCAATGGGCAACGGCCTAAACTCAGTAACTCTGGCCTTGCTGTAGCTTCAATATAGACAAAATCCATGAGCTGGCCAACGCTTTCTAGAAGCCACAAGACTGCTACTACCCCGAGCCCAGACAATGCTGATGAGAGGCCCCTGGTTTCAGTCTCTAGCTCTCCAGTCTGGTCTAGAGGAAACAATGGGCCTTGCCTTTCAGAGGCCCAGCCAGCTGTGTCCTGGGCCAGAGACTGGTGGTTCTGCAGCCATCAAGCATTCTCCTTGCAGAATAGGACAAGACTCCTGGTCTCAGTGGAAATAACGCGGGGAGTCTAAAGGAAGGAAGAAGGCAAATAGCAAATAGCACAGTGGCTGGGCTGTCCACTCTGATCTTGTCTTTCTCACTGCCATCCACTAGCTTCTGATTCTCTGCTGTCTTTTCAAGGTGTGGTCATTTTTTTTTTTTCTTGGAATGGGGGGCGGGTTGAACTCAGGCCCTTGCACTTGCCAGGCAAGCTCTTTTCTACTGAGCCGTCTCCCTGGCCCCAAGGTGTGGTCATTTTCAAGGATAGTCTGGCTGTATCTATTTGTCTTCTTCTCTCCTCTTGGCTGATCAGTTGTTGGGAGAGACTTCTCCAGCCTCCGTGATGCCTGTGATGCCCGTAACTCATGCTCTCTGAGTTGCCCATGAATAGAGAGCCTTCTCTTCCTGGAACCTGGAGAGGGCCTGCCTGTGCTAGGTTAACAAAAGTGTTTGTGGTGGTGAGTAAAGGCGCAGCCTAATCTGGGTCCTTGGAGTTTTCCAGTACCTCTCTGTGGAGTCTTCTGATTCTGCGTTGCCAGCTATAGCCAGAGCCTTCAGCATTCCTGTGAGACTCTCAGAACCTGTGTCTGTTCCTTTTTTCTTCATCTGTATCCCTCAGGATGCTCTGACAGCATCAGACAGTATCAGGCCAGTTCTGATCTAAACATGAATCCAACTCAGCCCAGCTCCTTCTTGCTACTTCCCTGTGGCCCAGCTCAGCATCTTTCCAATATGCCATCAGTGTAGGATGATTGCTGGCTTGGGAGCCCTCTAAAGGGATCCTGGGAGGTCCTGGGTAGTACTTTCTTTGTCTCCAGAGAATCTAGTCCCCAGGCCTCTCATGGCTAGGATGGGAGTTTCCCTGCAACTAAAGATATTAGGTGCTCAGGGTTTACAGGAGAGGGTAGTGCTTGAAGACACAGCTCACAGAGCATAAGACCAAGCTGGCGGAAAGGATCCACATCCTATGTCCTTCCCCTGCTTCTTCCCTGTGCCCTACCCCCATGTGCCTGAGAGCCAGACCTCTGGAGTAGCATGCTAAAGAAGGTCCCACTCTAGCCCTTTTTCGGGGGGTTCAAGTTCCTCAGTTCTGGTGCTTATCCCCCTCTTGAACTGCTGGCTGCCTTGGGGCTCAGCCACTAACTCACTTCAGGCGACGCAAGATGACTGTGTGTGTCTGTGACTGGGTATCCTACAGGGAGCAGGATCTTTGGGCCACAGGGCTGTGAAGGTAAGTGGGGAACGGGAGCGCTCACTCCTGTTTCAGGAGCAGGAACCCACATCAGCCTCTGCATTTCTGGCCCTGAACTCTATGTGGATCCACCAGCTATCTGCTGCCTGTTATTTCCCTTTGCTGGTCTGTATCCAAA